ACAGAGTAATAAAGACGAAAGGAAGCGGAAGGATAAGGGTGAAGTTGTGTTACGATAGTAAGGGAAAGTGAGTAAGCCTCTAGAGAGAAGAGGGTTGCGCAAGAGAAGGTTGAAGCAAGGAGACAAAGTCTAATAGATCAGATGGGGTTGGGGAAACAGGGTAGTCTAGCTCTTGTCTAGTCTGACCTTGATCTGTACTACAGTCTCGGCTGAGACTACCTTCGCTGGTAGTCTGTTGCATGCATTTGCCACCCAATGGGAGGAGACGTTCGCCCTTATGCTCTTCAGAGCTATGGGTTTGCTCAATATCATTCCGTTGCTCCTAAGGGAACTGTTGTAATCTATGCTGATTACGGATGGGGCTCCCGTGCCTGTGATTTCTTTCAGGAGCTTGAAGTTCTCTGTAAGATCCAACCTCAACCTTCTTCTTTTAGGGAGAAAATTCCCAATATCTCCAGCTTCTTGGAATGCGTCAATTCTTGGAGAACTGGGGACATTTGGTGAATCTCCTTTGTATACTTTCAAGAGTGTTCATATCAACAACTGTAATTGGTGCCCATGCATCTATTCCACACTCTACGTGGGTAAGAACGAACGCCTCGTAAAGTGAAAGCAGCACTGCCGCGTCCCTGGATGCAACAGTGCATCGCAACGGGCACAATACAATTTGAGCCTTCCCAGCAGCCTCAGCAAATTGCGGTGACGCCTTGAACGACTGGCCATGAGCACTCCCAGGTCCTTTATTGTTCCTGTGCTTTGAATTACCAGGGGGTTATCTGGGTTAAGGTAGCTCGCCACAGGGAAACCTTCGGACACTAGGTGTTTGCACTTGCCGGCGTTTAGTGGTAGACCCTGGACCATGGACTAGTAAGAGAGGGTGTCTAAGTCCTGCTGTATATCATACCCGATTAGCCTACCTACAATTAAGATCAGATCAGGTCAGGTTGCACAGGACTGNATGGGTTTTCTCTTTCAGTCTGCGAACGGAGAGAGAGAGGCTTTGCTTCTCGCCGTGTCGGCGAGAGACTTTTATTGTAAAAGCACACACAAAAGCAATCAATGCCCCGAACAATCTATATCAGGGAAAAACTTCAACCATCTGAGTCCAGATCTCTTTTAAAAGCTTGGACGTTTGGCTGGTTGAACAGTTCAGAGGGTAGAATGTTCCAATTATCCAATTCCCTATTCCTAAGGAACTGCGCTCGTAGGGTCAGCCTAGAACGCTGTTTCATAAGTTTGAGCTCATCACTACGCGTTCTTGGTGCGGAGCATCAGGGAAGAGGGACACCGGGTCTAAACCCAGCAAATCATGGACCAGAAGCGCCTTAACCCTACGCTGATGACTGGCACCAGGACAGATTCAGTTTCCAGACAGTACATGTATAATTAAGGATTATCAGGACATGGTTACATAACCATGACATACTTATCAAAACCATCAAGGTTCAGGTATCAAGTAGTGATTTAGCCTATCGATCAGGTAGATTAATTACAAAGGCTAGACTACCGTTAATCTTCTCCTTCTAACATAAGAACCCTTCTTCTCTACCGGGCATAATCAAGTGTACCGCCAAGATTTGTCACATATCGCCAGTATTTGGCGATGGCGGTCTTCTAGAGAAAGTTTCTTCACTAGATATAGCACATTGGACACTTGAAGAATTAATTTTTGCTTTAACTATTATTGTGCTTTAATTAGCTGGGAAAGACCGCACAGTGAGCTCTGTATCGCACGCTTTTCTTTGCATTGATCAGATATACTTTCAGGAATCTGCTACCGTTATTAAACTAACAACCTAACCATAGCCAAACTTAATTCCCACATTTCGGAAGTTTCACAATATAACTTTTCTACAATCCACAATTCTTGATTTTGTTCCTTCTTTGGACGGATATCCAGAACAAACGCGAGCAAATATTAGTGACAGATTCTGACGAACATCAAAAACCATTTAGTTACTAAAATATTCTGCTCGGTGGCGGACGTAGTAACTCGGGGTAGTTGTTTATTACTGGGTTTCCGATTGTAGCTGGAACGATAGACAGTTTTTTATCGAAGTAACTGACAGGTCAGACAAAGGAGAAACATTCGAATCTTTCTACCTTGACTTCCAAAAACCGTTTGACTCCGTTAACCAGGTATTCTTGCTGCATTAATTGAGGGGTATAGGGGCTCCAACCCAGGTAGGTAACTGGATAGCCAGTCTGCTTCATGACTGCACATACCAGATAAAAATAAGATCCACGATCTCCCGTAAAAGAAAAGCGACGAGTAGTGTCCGACCATCACGACAATGTACTTGTTCCTGTTTGGACTTATAGGCAGAGGTCTAAACACATCCAGTCCCCAGGTTTGAAGTACTCTCTGTGTGTCTGTTGGTTGCATTTGCGGTGTTGATGGTGGCGTGTCTTTATTATGTTGGCACTCGGGGCAAGAACGGATGTATTCAACTACATCCCGACGCATCGTTGGCCAGAATACGCGACGTCGTAATGAGTCGAGAACTCGTTGCCGTCCCATGTGTGCTCCATCGTGTGCAAGCTTCAACACCCGTTCGCGAAGGCTGGCTGGGATGAATGGCAGTCGCCTAGGTCTCAGTCCACGTTCCATGTCCACTTCAACCACCAATGTCTCATTGTTCAAATGCAGGCAATCCCAGTTCTTCAATAATTCTCCTATTTCGGGTGAAGCATTTTCCGGCTTCGTTTCTGACCGCAGATGTTCAGAGATCGTTCGCACCAGGTCTTCTTTCTGATATTTATTAATTTCCACATCGCTCGAAACCAACCGGGAAACTGGAATGGCCTCCGATAGGACACCGCCCTTGTGGATCGGACGCGACAGGAAGTCGGGAATCCCGTTATCCTTGCCGTCAACGTGTTCAATGGTAAACGTAAATTCCTGACGACGATACGCCCATCGCACCAGTCTTCCTCTCGGGTCGCGCGCCGTCATCAACCACTTCAAGGGTTTGTGGTCTGTCTTGATGTGGAACGTGTTCGTAATCAAATGCATTGGCTATTTCTCCAATGCCCACACGATCGCCAGGCACTCCTTTTCAGTTGTCGAGTACTTCCTTTCGGCGTCTGTGAGCAGGTGGCTGGCATATTCAATCAATCCGGAAGGTTGTGACAGCACTGCTTCGATTGCAATATCGCTAGCATTGACGGCCACAGTGAAGGTTTCAGCAGGGTTTGGTATTTTCAGACATCTTCTCTTAGCTCTTGGAATACCGTCTCCAACTCTGGCGTCCACTCAAACTTACAGTCTTTTCTCAGCAAATAGAACAAGGGGGCAGCCTTTTCAGCGAAGTGCGGTACAAATTTTTGCATTGTATCCTACTAATCCCCCAAACGACCGCAATTGGCGTTTGGACTTTGGAGGAGAAAAATTTCGAATCACTCCAGCCTTCTAGGGCAACGGTTTAATTTTACCTCCGCCGACAATGTGACCCAAGCAGGTAATTGTGTCCCGAGTGATTTGGCATTTCTTCGCACTGCGTTTCAACCCTGCGTTTTTGATTCTCCCCAGCACCGCTTCTAGGCGCCGCACGTGTTCCTCTGGTGTCTTTGAGAACACTACAATATCGTCGCCGTACACCACAACACCGTCCAAGTTTTCCAATGTTTGTAGCAACAGACGTCTGAACGTGGCTGGTGCATTGCACAGTCCGAACGGCATCCAACGAATTTGTATTACTGCCCGTTGACACATAATGCAGTTCTCTCTCTGTCGCTGGCTGCTACTGGTAGTTGCCAATACCCAGACCGCAAGTCAGTTAGTGACAGTGCCCGTGCAGAGTGGAATTGTTCAAATATCTCATCCATCAGTGGTATCGGAAAGGCATCCTTTATGGTCACATGATTCAGTTCTCGAAAGTCGACACAAAATCTGTAAGTACCGTCAGATTTTATAGTGAGAAGCACCGGTGATGAGTACGGGCTGGTACTTTTACGGATGATACCTTTTGACAGCATATCGCGTACCTGTTTCTCCACCTCCGGCAGTATCTTGTGGGGTATCCTTCGGTACACAGGTTTACACGCGGCCCTTGGCATTAGTTCTATTTTGTGCTCCAACCAATCACAAAATCCATACTTGTCGCCCGCAGTAGAGAACAATTCAGAATACTTTTCAACGCATTGCTTAACACATGGAATCGAACACTCTGGAACCTCAGATTTCCTTACAACGCTGACGAGAGAATGCGTTTCTTTTCCTGGGCGTAATTCATGTGCTTGTGATCCCACGAGTAATTTACCTCCTACGAAGCTGATCGTCGCACCCACGCAGCTGAGCAGACCAACACCAATTATAACCTCACTTACACCTTTGATCAAGACCATCTCATGGGTAACAGTCACCCCACCAGTCCACACACTGACACATTGTTTACCCAAGCCCCTGAATGGCATACCCCCAACTGCACGTACGCTCACATTGCACGGTTTCACCGGGACCCCTTCCACCCGAAGCATAATGGAAATCCCGGCACCCGTATCAATAACAGCCAACTTTGACCGTCCCAAAATGAAAACCTCGAGCCTTGGAAACCCCCGGACAGTCGGATCAGAAACAGAAAAACACGGACGAATGTGCTGGTTTGGGGGAAAAACGAGCAAGGTGTCCCATACCGTGGCAACTGAAACATCGCTTTGGCCAAACTTGAGCCCTGAAACGTCTCCTTCCTTGTGATCCGCCTTTCGTTTCTTCCTTCAGTCTTCCAATTTCTTCAAATGTATGTTCAATCTTATCTTCAGTTTCAGCAGCATCCACCCGAGCAAACACGTCATCAATCTTACAGGCTTACGCAATAGAAATTAGGCCCTCTGCATCATTCACTCCGCATGCGAACGAAAGTCTCAGTTTGTCTTTCACCTATGCCGGCGTGCTTTGTATGAACCAATCTGTGGCAAGCCTGTCCCGTGTTTCGTCATTCGCCTCCGGCAGGCCCAGGGAAATTTGTCGCTTCATGTATTGGTAGTGTACCAACGGGTCCTCAGTTCGGTTGTGCTCCGCAGCGTAAAACCGGTTCATCGCAGTCACCATACTTTGAAAATTCTGCCACCAATGCAGATTTCAAATTCTCACAATCTAGGGCTCGGTTGCTTTCCAAATTCAATTCGTAAGCGGCTCTCGCTCGTCCGGTGAGCAGCGCACCCAACGCGATGACCATGTGCGCACTCCATTTGATGCCGTTGCACGATGCGATTAGTTCAAAATCGCGAATCCACTTCTCCACATCTCCGTCTGCAAACGCGTTTGGCCAGGGTGGCTTCATTGCGTTGTGCTGACTTGGGTGAAGGCACCACTGTAGCGAGAAGGCGAGCTGGCTGGGAAAAACGTCTATTGATCCAATTCAAAAGCAAACAGCGTATGCGTTCCATTATATGCAGTCAATTCTCAACCACGCGACGGGATGATTCATGCCTCTTTCCGTGGGTCTTTCCTTGTTGGTTTTTAGTTTGCAATTGGCACGTGCGTTGCCTCTTCTTCCGTGTGCCATTCCGACTGGTTTGACCCGATCGCGGCGCGAGATGCGTTGATCGACAACTCCGACGTTGTGGTATTCGGTGGGTATCTTTCCCGTTAGCTGCGGATTGTCTGTCGGGCTGTAATTGTCGATTCGCTCGTTCCGAGTGGCAGTCAACATTGTCTTGCAAGGCACTTCCCGCCGCTGCGTCTGTGTGTCTGGTCGGATGGTGGGTATCTTTCCCGTTAGCTGCGGATTGTCTGTCGGGCTGTAATTGTCGATTCGCTCGTTCCGAGTGGCAGTCAACATTGTCTTGCAAGGCACTTCCCGCCGCTGCGTCTGTGTGTCTGGTCGGATGAGCCCTATTCTTGATTCGGTCGCTAACCAGGACTCTCTTTGTACTGCTTTTCATCGCAATAGCAGGAAATTGACTTTATCAACAACAAAAAGTAGAAAATTGGTCACGAACATGAAAGTAAGAGGGTTTATGGTAGGGATTCGGAGGCCAAGTGTAGCACATATAGAGCTGAATACTGTTGGGGCCTAAATGGTAGAAGGGAACGTCTAAGGCTTAAAGTGCATAACGAGTCTCCGTGATTTTTATTCAGGAGTTGTGTGGTGACCATCTCTTTCTAACAGATACACCTTTCGAACCTGTTCGCCTGCAGATTTTTTCAATTCAACTGTTCTTACTAGTCCATCTGGGTCCGTGAAGCTTTCAATGATTATAACTATTGGACAGCTGTTGCGTTATAGCTTCTCATCGGCCATAAGGACGACGTCTCTAGCTCTATTCGACCGTTCTTTCTGCATCCAATTCTGTCGGGCTTGTAGGGTTGGTAAATACTTTCGTGTCCAACGCTTTCAGGGCATTCCTGTCAGGTAGTTAGCTTGCTTCCAACCCAGAATATAGCAGCCGGCTAATGGTTTTTGGTATATTCAAGCCGGTATTGGACCCGAACAGCAGATCATTCGATGTCAGCGCCAGTCCTTGGAGATCCTCACTTGAAACCGGTACGAGTGGTCGGTTGTTGAGTATTCTTTCCACCTCTACTAAAACTATACTCATCGTCTCATCGTTTGGAGACTGTTGTTCACACAATGCTGCTTATATTCTCGGTACTAAGAGGATGAGTTGTTTCTTTACTCCCCCGCGGTGACTGCTGTATAGAGGGTTGAAGTGCCACTGGGTCCTAAATTGTGACAGCCAATCTTGCAGAGTGCACTTGTTCAACCGCGTCAACCAGTTGCTCAACTCTTTCTGTGCACCGACGAAGTTGGATCCGTTATCGGAGAACACATTCGACGGGTTGCCTCACCTACCCACGAATCTCTGCCAGGCCATAAGGAAGAAGTCGATCGACATATTGTGGACAGCCTCTACATGCAACGCTCTTGACTGAAAGCAGGTCATCAGGCAACCATACCGTTCCTCCATCAATGTCCTTTTCTCACCCGACGTAATCCATTCCGGCTTTGGCGAGGTGCCACCGACCTTGTCGTACTTGGAAACTTGATGAGGACGCCATTAGTTGTTTGTCAAACGTAGCTTTCTGTCGACGGCAAAATAGTCAGTTACCCACGATATGCTTAACTGTGGCTCTCTCCTTCACTATCCAAAAGCGACGGTGGATTGTATTCAGTGATTGGTTTTCTCCGGCATGACCCTCTTGCATGTGTATGCATGATAATTGTACGCGTGATGTGGTGGTTGTTTGGCAGGGATAACCCCGGGGTGTTTGGCATCAAAGTCCAACTGAGAGTTAGTCAATCTACCACCCACCCTCAGCAAACCATCTATCAATATGGGACAAAGCCTTTGGAGAGAGCTGTGACTTGTTAACTGTTCATTCAGAAACACAATCCGCCCTGCTCAACCACCGAAAATCCGACGGGAAGGCTTGCGCTTGAGCTATACGAATGATATCGGCCTCTGCTGTTTTCGGTTCAGCTAGAACCATGGTTTTAATATTTAACGTGTCTTCTGGTTGGAGTCCTTTCATCATGACAAGTTGTCGCCTGAACCAATTCCACCAGAAAACCACCCTCGGCACCTTTGCCACTCTCGCGGCTAAGACCGCTGCAGCCTAGGTATTGAGATTGCTTTGAGGGGAGCGACTCTGGCCTTCACAAATAATGAACTGCTATGTACTCTTCCTCCCCGTCGAGAAGAGAAGCTGTAGGCCGCTACCCTGTATTTAACTTCCGACGCGTCTGCAAAACCGTTTACCTCACTTGCCTTTCCTCGGTTAATTCCTGGTATGAAACGGGGCAGCCGTATTTTGCCCCGCTTGGACAGGTTTATCCACCAGCCTTGCCAGGTCTGGTGATCTACCCTGCATAGGGTTTCATCCCAAGTTACCCTTTTTCTACACAGTTCCTGCAGCAGAATCATGCGCGGTAATAGACACGGTGCGACGAAACCCATATGGTCGTAAAAGCTGGATAACGAAGACTGGATCCCTCTCGAGTCACCGTCTTTTTGGGTAACTGAAGTTGGAACAGAAACCCATTTTCGCCGCATCCTACTGCACACCAAGTACCCTATCTGTTGCTAACGGACTTCCCTGTAAGTCCTGGAGACAAGGTAACCGCTCATTAACTGGGATGTAATCTCTTGTTTGACGACTGTTAGACATCTACGCCGTCAGCTTGAAACCTCCCATAAGCAGTAACTTAGACAAATCACTAATGTGTCAAACTGCCTCTTCTACACTATCAAAGGACCCCAGAAAATCGCCCACATGGAAATTATACGTAACACAGGAGTAAACGGGGGATCAAAACACCTAACAAATTGGTTCACAATCGATTTTAAAGCGAAGTTTGCACAAAAGAGGGAGGATGTCGCGCCAAACAGGTGCACCGTCATCCAATACTCCTAGACAGGTCCATCCAGGTCTCCTTTCGGCTGTCACGATAACCGTAATGCGTCCCTTTGCGATTCGTGGACTTTAATCTGCATGAACATTTTCGGGATATCAGCAGTTACCGCGACTGCCCCTAGACAAAATCGACACAGCACTTCATCAGCGGGATCGCCAGGTTTGCACCTTGTAGTAGACAGTCGAATAGGGCAACCCCATCACACTTCGCTGCACAGTTCAACACGACTCTGGTCTTTTGAGGTTTCTTAGGGTGTATAACTGGGTGGTGCGGGAGGTACCATAGTGGTTGTCCTTTATCAGCTTCTTCAGCAGCGCGTTCAATAAGGCCCAATTTCATGTTTGTCTCATGGCATTACAATACGCTTCCTTCAACCGTGCGTCCCTTTTCAATCGTCCTTTCAAATAGCTGAACCTACGGAAGGCCGCTTCTCGATTACCGGGCAGTCGATGTGATCCCGTTCGCTAGGGTAAAGATACTTTGAGCTGGATTCCATTGCGTTGGATCCTTTCATTGATGATAGCCAAGGCTGTACAGTCTTCCCGTGACATAGATACTCAATCGTCTGCTATGTCCTCGAACTCGTGATTGTATAGTCGTTTCAGGTCGTTCCCTATAGGGTTACTTGGCCGAGAGAGGTAGTTTATTAGGGCTGAGTAGTTACCATTATTAGCGAGTGGTCCGCAGAGAATCCAACCGAAAACAGTGCGCACAGCGTACGCCTCCATACGACCTGCTATCCGCTGGTCCAAGACCCAATGCGCCTCGGGTACGTCACAGCCAATCAGTGTGTCTACAAAGTTGTCCGCTACATCTTCCAATGGCGAATCGTGGAGATGAGGCCAGCACCGCAACAACGACCTGATGTCTTCGGAGGTCGTTATTGGCAAGCTGGCGATGGAAAATGCCTATTGAACCTCAATGGTTTTTCCTCAGATGTGGAAGTCAACTCGAGACTCAGTTGGGAAGCTTGGACTGTGTGCGCCCCATTATTAGTGCTAATTGCTAGTGAGGTGTACTGTCTTCCTACGTCATTTTTATACGCAAAGCTCTGCCTCACGAGTGTGGTATTTGATCCATTCTTCAGGATTGCCACGTCCTGGACAAAACAACTCGGGATCTCCACCTGAATGGGTGCTGTTTCCAAGCGAACCGACCAAATTGATATCCGTCCATTGGTGCAAACGGATTTTGGTTTATTCCCGGTGTACTTGTACTTTCTTTCGATCCGGCCATTATCTGCTCTTTAGAACCTTCCATCGTTGTGCAGCAAGGGGTGGTGTCGACCATTGCGTTTAACTTGACAACATTTGGTTCGGATTCTGCATAAGGCTGCTCTGTGGGTATCTCTCAGGCACGCAAATCAGGACCCTGTATTCTAAGCTACTGTTTANTGCTAAACGCTTGTAAACACCTGTGCACAGCTTCCACTTAATCGGTTGGTGTGGCTCATTTGAGATTAGGTTGGTGCTCATCCATATGTGTGCAGGATGGAGACCACGGGATCCAGATGGCTCACAATTCGTTGAAAGCCTGGAAGTTTTGATGCTTTCTCTCACCAGTTGACCGAATCGGCTGTTTGTTATGCCAGATTGGCAGCTTATGAACTCCGCGAATTCATCAAAAGTTGCTGTTCCATTTTCGATTCGATCGGCCTCGGTCACCCAGGCTATCTGAAGTGTGGCAGGCAGACACCTGACTATCGATTCCAGCGCATGCAGTGCATCCAAGTCCGAGCGATATCCTTGGTGGTTGAGAACGACGTTGCAGTTCTCATCCTTGATGGCTAAGTTTCGTAAAGATCTAGCATTGCCTCGTGTGCGTCTTGCTTCTGCCAGCACTCCGTCAATCATGTTGCGTGCCACTCGGAGTGGTTGGCTAAACATCTCCTTCAGTACATTTCTTACGCTTGGGTGGCCCACTTTCGGGTCAAGCATTGCACACTTTTGTATGGCTTGTTTTGTCACCCCACGACAATAGTGCAGCAAGAACAGAAACCTTTGACATGCATCGGTGGTCTTGCATTTGACGACATCTTCATACTGGCGAATAAATTGGCAATGTTGTTTGGGGTTGCCGTCAAATGGTGTCATTTCAACTCTTAGCAAATCAACGTTTTCATAGGCGTATGTATGTTACTTCGTGACAGATTGTTTAATTGGAGAGCAGCTGCTGTTTACAATCTCAGCTCGAGAGGCCGTTGCGCTCTGATGATCGGTCTTATAACGTTTTGCCTGTTCTATCTGCTGTATAGCTAGCCACAACCCATGTTATAATTCAGGAACCCGCAATCTAAATATATGAATATACTTAAGATCTGAACCAACACATGAAACAGCACTGACAAGAAAAACAGTCTCTATTTTCCAAAGAATCGAAAAGACCCACAGCCCCCTTAGGGACTTGCTAGTTTAATTTCTGTT